TGCAGCACAAAAAATGCATATATTAGGGTAAAGTGTGCATAGGAATGTATATATCAGTGGGAATTGCATGCAAAAAAATGCATTGTATTTGGAGGAAGTATTTTGGGGAAATGTGTATATTAGGCAAAATTGCCTACAAAAGTCTTTATATCAGGATAAATTCCTGCTAAAATGCTGGTGAATTTTTATGAGGATGTTAAATTTAAAAAATCACTAAGGTGGAAATATGGAAAACTGAAATTGGAAAAAATGAGAAACTGAGAGATAGAAAAATTGAGTGTCACCCAACCCTACCTCCAAGTCAAGGAGGGCTATTGGGGAGGGGGATAGAGTAATATACTCAGTCCTACGCCCCCTTTGCTTTACAAGCAATACAAACATCTGAAAAGAGCTATTAATGAAGGGGGGGGCTGGTTGTATACCACATTCCGACTCATTTGTCCAGAACTGGATTTCCTGTATTATGAATTCTTGCAAGACAAAGCAAATAGATTTACAAATATTGCTCATGAATTTAATTCGCCACAACGATTTAAATTATTTGTTCTGTGGTGATTTTCAAATATTGTGACAACATGCTTCAATGCAAATAGTCCGCATTTATACTTAGGCGCTGTTTTCCAATGCTTTAATGAAGATACACGTTTTAAAATCACCCTTCCCACCTACTGCTTCTCTGCTGAAATTCACCCCCTTCTTGAACCTACTTTGCTATATCTTTTTTTTTTTTTTAAGCAGCCATCAGGGCTTGCTTCTAACATGCAATTCTTCCTCAAGAGACTGCAAGCTAATTATCTGCAATGCATTATGTATGAGTCTGTGGGCTAGTTTACACCTTGGAGCGGCGGTTAGTGAGTGACAGAAAAGCACAAGTGTGAAGCAGAGTGTTCAGTGCAGAGATGCGTACCAGGAAACAGCATCTATTTCTATGATGATGTTATCAGAAAAAATTCGGGTAGAATGTTGCAGTTGTTTCCACCATCACTACTAAGTATATATTTCTTGCTGGTATTAATCTCTATGTGTGGTAACATGAAGTGGAGGCTTACACCCTTCTATGTAAGCTTGATTCTCAAACTTAATCCGTTCCGGAAGTCTGTTCTAAAACCAAGCGTTCCAAAACCAAGGCATGCTTTCCCATAGAAAGTAATGCAAAATGGATTAACCCGTTCCGGACCTTTAAAAACAACCCCTAAAAGAGCAATTTAACATGAATTTTACTATCTTGCGAGACCATTGATCCACAAAATAAAAGCAATAATCAATGTACTGTACTATAAAATAAATAAGTATTGCAATACATGGAACAAGATAATAATTTGCTGATATTTTTATTATAAAGAATGCAGGGTGAGGGGGACGCGGGGAAGTCCGGTTGGTGATGAAAAAAATGTTTTGAAAAGATGGATTTTTTTCTTTTCTTTTCTTTTCTTTCTTTTCTTTTCTTTTTTCTTCTTTCTTCTTATTAATGTTATGTATTTGACTTGATTTTTGTACTTGAGAAAAGCAATAAAAATATTTATTAAAAATAAAATAAAAAAATAAGTATTGTAGATAATAAAAATATAAAATAAAATAAAAATTCTTACCTGCACTAATGATAGTCATTGTTTGGATGGGGAGCTTTTATCCATTTCTGCAGTCACACAATCAATCAGTAGCTGAACTGGGTTCCACACAGCCACAAAAACAAATTAATTGAAAAAGCCTCAAAACAAAAAACACAAAATAAATAGCAAAAACAAAAGCACCAAACTTAATCCGTTCCAGAAGTCCGTTTGACTTCTGAAATGTTCGAAAACCAAGGCGCAGCTTCCGGCTGGTGCAGGCACCCCAGAAACAATAGCCAACAACCGCATTGGACGTTTGGCTTCCCAAAAACATTTGAAAACTGGAACACTTACTTCTGGGTTTTTGATGTTTGGGAACCAAGGTTTTTGAGAACCAAGGTACCACTGTGTGCCTGAAGTGGTCCATTTCTGTTGCTACACCCAAATCTCTGAACAGCGAGAGACTCCAGGGGTGCCGGTGCCTACCCAGGGTTCAGCTTTCTTGGAACGAATGTCATTGACGACTCTGGTTTCTTTAGGATACATGGTTTTATTTGCTCATACATACAACCTGAGTGCAAGATGGAAGGGCTCACAGCAGACCAACAAACTTTGCTTCTCCATTAGACTTCCAGGGCCTTGGATTCAGCCCATAGAGCAAATCAAGTCTCTCTAGCATCCAACTCCAGCCCAGACTAGCAGAATGACAAGCCCCTTGACTTGTTATTTCCCCACCCCTATGATGATGTGATCGCGGGACGCGGGTGGCACTGTGGGTAAAAGCCTCAGCGCCTAGGGCTTGCCGATCGAAAGGTCGGCGGTTCGAATCCCTGCGGCAGGGTGCGCTCCCGCTGCTCGGTCCCAGCGCCTGCCAACCTAGCAGTTCGAAAGCACCCCCGGGTGCAAGTAGATAAATAGGGACCGCTTACCCGCGGGAAGGTAAACGGCGTTCCGTGTGCTACGCTGGCTCGCCAGATGCAGCTTTGTCACGCTGGCCACGTGACCCGGAAGTGTCTTCGGACAGCGCTGGCTCCCGGCCTCTAGAGTGAGATGGGCGCACAACCCCAGAGTCTGTCAAGACTGGCCCGTACGGGCAGGGGTACCTTTACCTTTACCTTTATGATGATATGATATCCAGCCAATTAAGGATGAAGGGGAAGGTCTACTCTCTCCTGAAAGAACATAATTCCCTCAGCTGCCTCTATGACAGACAGCCTGACAGGAGGGTACATTTGTGTTGGTTTTTCATTATCTTAAAGTGGTCAATAATTCTACTCAGGAACAAGGTGGGCTTCAGAGGTGTATGTTTGCAGTTTGACCTACTTAGCTGCACACCTGTGGTCTCTCGACTTTTTGTCTAATTAAAAGGGGAGTTATTTTCTGCACCGGATGCAAGAAGGGATGTGATAGGATAATTGGTTAATTGAAATTGTATTTAATTTGATCAAATGTCTTGTAAGCTGGCTGGTCTTGTAAGCTGGCTGGTGAGTGATGGTTTGCAGTGTTAGTTTTATTTTCGAAAAACATAACAAAGAGAGAAAAGATATTGTGGACAGCTGTTTATATCTGCGCTCCATTCGCTGCACACACTCTGTGCTGAAGAAGAAGTTCAACACTCTGGGCCTGAGGTTCCCCACCCCTGATTTAAATTATAGTAGGCATTCCTAAATTCACATCTATGCATAAAAGAGCATGTGCAGATTTAAGCAAATATTTGTCCTCTTTCTCTGTGTGTAATGCACTAGCGACCACCATAGACTCTGAACTTGCATAGAAGCCATACATACTGGTTCAAAATCCTTGCTTTGCCTGAAATTATTTAGATATAACAGGCAAGACAACCTGCATGTACTTGTGGCAGGCACACTTCATATAGGAGTGGCAGGTTTCAGAACATGATAGCAGCTTCCAGTGCAGATTTTAAGGCCTTGCATGGATGAACGTCAGTCAGTTTGAATGTGCACGGATTGTACAGTAGCCATGCAGGATTTTTGCAGGCAGCCATATTCTGAACAGAAACTCATAATGTCCACTAACTTGTGTGACTTTAAAACAGGATTAGACAAATGAATGGATGTTAAGGCTGTCTGTGGCTACTAGCCATGATGACTATGTTCTGCCTCCCCGGGGCAGTATGCCTGTGAATACCAGTTGCTGGGGATCACAAACAGGGAAATTGCTGTTGCTCTCAGGTCTTACTTTTGGACTCCCCATGGGCATCTTGTCGGCTTCTTAGCCAGGATGCTTGAAAAGAGCATTGTATTTGTGGTCTTTTGGAGAACAGGGGTGCCTACTTGAATAAAATATTGTGGGGGCCCAGGTAAGCCCTGCCCCGCATAATCAATCACATGACTCAGCGCACAGACACCATTTGAATGGAAATGCCCATCAACGGGGGAGGGGCTAAGCCCTCAAATATTTTATTGTGGGGGCCAAAGTACCCACAGTCCCTCGGAGTTGGCTTCTGTCTTGAAGAATATTCTGGGGCTCCAAAGAATATCCAATGTCAAAACAATTTGACATTTCTTTATTTATTTGCATTTTAATGAGAAACTACCCAGTTCCCAGTTTTTGAAACAATATGCGAGCTGAAACACAATTATCCTTCAACATTCACACTTCTTCAGATCTTGTGGTGCGGTTCTCCAACCATACAATGTGTATAAGCAAGCATATATTAGAGGAAAGTGTCTTTTAACTTGTTTTGTGCCTCCCACGGTGGGATTTCCCCTACTCTCTCCTTTTCTGTACACTTCTCAAGTCATCACCTCTAGGGCCACTTTAATATCAAGAGCAAATTTGCACCCATTGCTTTTCAGAAACCATCATCTGAACGCAGTCTATGCTTTCATCCAGTAGCAGCTAATTTACTGGATTAGATAGACGGTTCTGTTTTCCTTTGCATCTAGCATAGAATTAGTAGTATCTGGAAGAGATGCTCGTGAGAGCTTGGAGATTCTGTTTGGTGGAATAATTCCAATGGAAAAGAATATTTCACTTTACCAGCTAAAGCATCTCCCAAGGCAGAATGCCAGCTTAAATTATATCCTTTCTATTGCACTCTTCTCAGATTCGTCCATACATGTCTGGGGGCAGATAAGGATAGAAACTGCATCCTGTTGAAATCAGTGTCACAAATCTTATTGACTGGAATTGTCCTTGTGTGTATCTGGACATTTGAGCAGAAATTTAAAAATTGATAATTACCCTCCTTCCCTCCCCCAAACACTTCAAGTAGTTTATTTTTAGTATGAAAGAAACAGAAGGGAATTTATATGTCCGGGAGAAGGGCGGGGAGAGAGATTACATAAAAATGGTTATTGTCAGCTGCCAAGGAGAAAATATTTCATTTGTAGAGCTGGACAGAAAGTGTTCTAGGAAATGCATTCCTTGTGCATTTATTAAGTGCAACTTTCTCTCTTTCTCTTCTCTCTCACTTCCTCTTTTTAGATAAAAAGCCTCTTCACGAAATAAAACCCCAAAGTAAGTTCATTTCTTCTCATGTAACTTTTTAATATCTTACTATAGAATATTTATTTGTAAAAAGAAGAAGAATAGTTGTCGCCAGTGCTTTTTTTCTAACAAAAATGTTTAGGGGTGCTCTCATTTTCCTACTCATACTTCCCCTCAACGAGGCCAAACTTAGATTCACAAAATGTTTAGGGGTATGCGTACCCCTGCGTCCCCCCAGGAAAAAAGCACTGGTTGTCACACTCCAGTTTGCATGGCCACCAGCAGGAGGGCACGCCAGCTGTGTCATGGTGGCAGAACAGAAGGCAGGTGTTTCTTGGAGGTGGGGGAGCAAGCGGCAGGCGACCCAGACTAGTCACAGAGGAACAGACATGCCAGGCCGCTGCAGGCCCCTAGAAACCACCCTGCTTCGCTGCCGCTGCAGACCCAACACTGATGTAACTCTTTCAGCCTCAGCAGTGTTAGCGGCAACAATGCAGAATGGTGCTGGGGAGCTGCTCCAGCAGGCAAGGGGTTACACAACAACAACACAACAACAAGGGGCAGGCAAGGGGACATTGAGGTCAAGGAGAAGGTAGCCAAAGGGGTTGGGCAGAACACCAAGGGGCAGGTTTAGCAAGCCTCACCATTCTCTCCTTGTTGCTACTGGAGGCCATGGTTGCTGAGGGAAACTTCCTCCTCCCCATCATGACCTGTTTGCCAATAGTGGTGGTAGTGGCAGAGTGGAAGATAGCGAAAAAGCTTTCTCTTCTTCATTCCCGTCTCGCCCATGAACAGTGGCAGTGACGGTGGGATTGTTGAATCAGGGCAAGTGTTGAAGGGATGGGGTGGTGGAGGAGGATTTGGGGGTGTGCTGTGGGGAATGGGGAAGTTAAAGGACCCCTGGATGGTTAAGTCCAGTCAATGGCGACTATGGGGTCGTGGCACTCATCTTGCATTCAGGTTGAGGAAGCCAGTGTTCGTCCACAGTCAGCTTTCTGGGTCATGTGGCCAGCATGACTAAACCGCTTCTGGTGCAATGGAACACCGTGACAGAAACCAGAGTGCACGGAAACACTGTTTACCTTCCGGCCACAGTGGTACCTTTTTATCTACTTGCACTGGCGTGCTTTCGAACTGCTAGGTTGGCAGGAGCTGGGACAGAGCAACGGGAGCTCACTCCGTTGCGGGGATTCGAACCGCCGAATCTTGGCAAGTCCAAGAGGCTCTTGGCAAGTCCAAGAGGCTCAGTGGTTTAGACCACAGCGCCATCAACATCCCTACAATGGGAAAGTTATGGGTGAGCTGTGAGGGGATGGGGGGAGTTTGAGGTGAACTGTAGAGAGACTGGCAACAGAGTTGGGGTAGACAGGAATTAGGGGTTAAGGAGCTGTCTGCACCAGACCAGCCTCATTTATCTACTCGTACAAGTTTAGGTAAGTTCTCCCCCCATTAAACAGTGGCTCAGTGGCATTCAAAGGAGAGTTGGGAGCACTTCTGCTCTCTGGAGTGCCTCTCAATGTCCTTTAAAAAGGGTTGGGGCAAGCTGTGAAGGGGTGGTTGGTCAGGCGAGGTGTAAAAGGAGGAAGAGTTGGCCAGGTGTGGGGGAAGGGGAGTTGGCAAAGGGGCTGGCAGGTAGGGGTAGGTGGCATTGGTGCAGTCACAAAGGTCACAGAATGTATCTTCCTTTGAAGCAACAACATCAACAGACCTATTCACAACTGCATTCACAGTTAATACTGCCATTGTTGTTGCAACAACATCAAAATCAGAGCTACAAAGTATAACACATTGTAATTACTTTAAAATGTTGATGAAGAAAACGTTTGTGATTCCTCTTTCATTTCTGTAATAATACGGTGATTCATTGGACGGAGAATTAAACTATGCACTTTACTGACCAAAAGCCATGTCCCCTCCCTCTGCCCTCATTCTGGGTTTTGTAGCAGAAAATATAGATACTTAACATTTGAGCCTTTAGTAAAATTATATAATGCATTTGTGGGAAGGAAAAGATTTGCCTTAAAAGTTAGAAATGAAGACTTAACAAATGGATCAAAAGCTATGAAATGACTCACATTAATTAAAAAACCAAAACCCAAAAACAGCCCACACATAGTTCATATGTTTGTTAATCTAGATGAAGCCTGAGTTCTTAGCACATAATTTTGTTTTGAAAATGTAGATAATATAATTACACTAGATTGGTGGAATGGGTCTTTGCAACTGGCTACCAGCCAGATAGGGGGCCATGATATAATTGGGACAGGGCAAGGATTTGCACTAGTGCCATGAAGATCTTCTTCCCCCATCCCCACCTTTCATTCTGTTCCCCAAATCTGCTCTGATGGGTTGGGACAGGTTTACAGGTTGCACAGGTAGGAGGAAAGAAGGAAAATATTCTGCTGTGCCAAGAGAAATCCCTGCGCTCGTGGATCCAGCGACTTAGTGCTGTGTTGAATATAATGCTATACCTGTGGACCTGGCTTAGTGGATGCATCACATATGTCTTCTTTGTGGAAGGCAAGGCTGAGCAGGTTCAGGTCATGGTAGTTGCATCATGTTCTGAGGAAGAGAAAACAGTTTGTGGCTGCTAGTAGTGTGGCGTCCCTCCTCCGCATGTCACTATCTATTGTGGAGTGAACATTTGGGGGTGGTTTTTTTTTGGCTCCCTATCTTTCTGTGGAGTGTTTTATTTTTCCATCCCTGTTGACTTCCACTGCAGACTTTTTGTTTAACATTCTGATAGTCCTGGGAGTTGAGGCAACAAGGTGTTGTCTATGCACAAATCTCTCTTTTTTATGTAACTGTTGTTTGGGATAGTGGTGCCCAGGGCTTTCCTTTGTCCTGAGTGCCCACCAAGAATGTTTCCCTTCAGCAAATTCCCACTGGCTCTCTAGCGTGCTCACAGTTATCTTGGTGTAGTAAGAGATAAGGCTGAGCCCTGCATCTAGGTCCAAAGCCCAGATAGCGAACTGAATTGGGCTGCTTCAGGTTGACTTGGGAATTGGTCAGATTCAGTTGAGGGAGCCCTGAAGCACCTTAGGTCAGATCAGGTCCTCCCAGAGTGATCTAGAGCTGTCAAAAGGGGGGCAGTATGGCGATGAGGACAGGGGGGTGGAAATAAGGTGTGTGGGCAACTTGATTTCACCTTCTCCCACTCCCCAACTACATGTTTAAAGCCCGGATTAATTGGGATGGGGAGGAAGGAGATGTACATCTCCTCTCCTTCCTCCTAACCAAATGACTGTGCAAGACCCCCAGATTGGTTCAAGGTCCTGGGCTGTATAAAATCAGAGTTGTAGAGTTCGAAGGAACCCCAAGGAATATCTAGTCCAACCCCCTGTAATGCAAAGTGCTGGATCGAACCCTGAATTGGATTGGCCCTTATAATATAGCTCAGTGACTTCTTGCTGAACATTTTGATATGTGTGCTCTCTCCCCTTATTATACTGTGTTGGCTACAGGGCTATGATATTGCGTCCTGCAACACCCCTACAGGAATGGGGATATGGAAGGAATTTCATTTCAGATTTTAATGCAAATCTTCCTATTTGTGATGCAAAAGACACCTGTCCTTCAAAATTTGCACTTCCCTGAATTGTATGACACTGTTCTCCAGCCAGATAATGTGTATATTATAGGGTAAAGTATGCATAAAATGAATATATTAGTAAAACCATATAGAAATGCATTAGAGGAAATTGTTTGCAGAAATACATATATTAGGCAAAACTACTTACAAAAAATGTACATTAGGAGATTTGCACTAAGATGCTAACATTTATTTATTTTTAATGAGAACTTTTTTAAAACAACAACAACAACACCAATGTTGGTGCCTCAGGGTTCGGTCCTCTCCCCCATGCTTTTTAATATCTATATGAAGCCGCTGGGAGAGATCATCAGGGGGTTTGGGCTGGGTGTTCATCAGTATGCAGATGACACCCAGCTCTACCTCTCCTTTAAATCAGAACCAATGAAGGCGGTGAAGGTCCTGTGTGAGTGCCTGGAGGCTGTTGGAGGATGGATGGCAGCTAACAGATTGAGATTGAATCCTGACAAGACAGAAGTACTGTTTTGGGGGGACAGAGGGTGGGTGGGTGTGGGGGATTCCCTGGTCCTGAATGGGGTAACTGTGCCCCTGAAGGACCAGGTGCGCAGCCTGGGAGTCATTTTGGACTCACAGCTGTCCATGGGGGCACAGGTTAATTCTGTGTCCAGGGCAGCTGTCTACCAGCTCCACCTGGTACGCAGGCTAAGACCCTACCTGCCCATGGACTGTCTTCCCAGAGTGGTGCATGCTCTAGTTATCTCCCGCTTGGACTACTGCAACGCGCTCTACGTGGGGCTACCTTTGAAGGTTACCCGGAAACTGCAATTAATCCAGAATGCGGCAGCTAGACTGGTGACTGGGAGTGGCCGCCGGGACCAGATAACACCAGTTCTGAGAGATCTGCATTGGCTCCCAGTACGTTTCCGAGCACAATTCAAAGTGTTGGTGCTGATCTTTAAAGCCCTAAACGGCCTCGGTCCTGTATACCTGAAGGAGTGTCTCCACCCCCATCGTTCAGCCCGGACACTGAGATCCAGCGCCAAGGGCCTTCTGACGGCTCCCTCATTGCGAGAAGTAAGGTTACAGGGAACCAGGCAGAGAGCCTTCTCGGTAGTGGTGCCTGCCCTGTGGAACGCCCTCCCAGCAGATGTCAAAGCAATAAACAACTATTTTACTTTTAAAAGACAACTGAAGGCAGCCCTCTTTAGGGAAGTTTTTAATGTCTGATGCTGTACTGTTTTTAATATTCAGTTGGAAGCCGCCCAGAGTGGCTGGGGAAACCCAGCCAGATGGGCGGGGTATAAATAATAAATTATTATTATTATTATTATTATTATTATTATTATTATTATTCAGAAATGTGGAAAACTGGACTGCAAAAATGAAGAACTGAAAGAATTGAAACTGACAGATTTGTGCATGCTTCCATGGAGGGGAAGGAGTCAGTGTTCTGAACTGCCTTTTGCACCTAGTGGGT